AACTGGTAGCCGAACAGTGCTAAGAGCTAAGTAGCTGTCTCAATTGGTAGGGCGCTATACACAAAAAAGGCATCGATCAGTGTGATCAGCTTATCACTAGTCATTTTTACCGTCAGCTTTTTAGGTAGTTAAGTGTTTTCGGTTTTTGATCAGCTTAGCTCTCGTTAATTAGGGTCAACTCTGTTAGCCAGCAATCAGGACCAAAATCAGCTTCTGTTCTGAGAACAGGAACCTTTCAAGGGAAATGTGAAAGGAGCTTGAAACGTGCACTGTGGCCCTATAGCCATGATTTCGAGAAGAATCAGGCTCTATTTGGACCCAATTTCTTGGAAAATTCCATCCATAGAATTAGAGCAAATGACGTGCAGAGAATAATTCTTCTGGGAATGAACAGCGCCCAGCAGGATCAACTCTCCTGCCCGGAGGAGAGGGAGCTGTTCTATCCTATTAATGTATTACAACATTCTCCCCACTCAGAGCTATGACGCGCTAAAAGACCTAAGCATATTGTATTCCCCACGAAGAGCCCATCGTGATTGCAAGCGCTCAGCAGCTGATATGTTATATGTTTTTTGATGCGATTGACGCTATCTGACGCCACGTCTATCCAAAACTGCGCAATTACGACGGACTCCCAAAAGGCGGTGTCCAGTTCTAATGAAATGCACTAATAGATAGGAGACCAAGATCTAGATGAACAGGAACCTCCCCCTCCTTCCCATAAGGACTAACCCATCTGACACCGAATTCCTTGTCCAGCACTTTCAGAATGTCCCCGTTTCAGTTCTTTTTCGATGCACAATGGCCCATCTATTGCTCAGATAACTCCAACGTAACCACAGGGTGCTCTCTCAAACCTCTTCAGGGCTGACTAGTCCAGCACCCCTCGTCACAGTCGCTGTCATTTCAGGGTAAAAACTTTACTCGTCATGTGACAACTGGCACAGTCGTGCTTTACTGCGTTGTAAGGGTTTGAGCGCCACACAGCTGCCTGACACATCTGGGGCGCCTCTTGACGCCACGGCAGTAAAGTTGCG